TGTTATAAAAGGTCATATGCGAATAATAACAAGACAAAAACTCCGAAAGGAAACTTTTATCGTTTAGAAGATACTCGAGTATTCCCAAGTGAAAAGTACGTTAACTTTTTTGACAGCATTATTAAAGATTTATTGATTAGGATTTGTAAATATTTCTCGTTAAATTTAAAAAACTTCGAAAATTAGTTCCATGTTGCAAGCTTAATCATATTCATTTTCAATTGTAATTATTGGTATACAAACGCAAACAAGTGAGGTATATATATATATATATACGTAAGTGTGCTAAATGAACCTGCATGACAACTACGTGTAGGTTTTCAAGGATACATACGTGCTACCGGAAAATGTGCAACGCCCATTAGTTGTAACGGGTATTTAAACATGTCCTAACTAATGTAAAGGTTTGTTTGTTTTTGAATTTCGCGCAAAGCTACACGAGGGTTTTCTGCGCTAGCCGTCCCTAATTTTGCAGTGTAAGACTAGAAGGAAGGCAGCTAGTCATCACCACCCACCGCCAACTCTTGGGCTACTCTTTTACTAACGAATAGTGGGATTGACCGTGACATATAACGCCCTCACGGCTGAAAGAGCGAGCATGTTTGGTGGGACGGGGATTCGAACTCGCGGCCCACAGATTGCGAGTCGAGTTCCCTATTCACCTGTCCATGCCGGGCCACTGATGTAAAGGACTGGTTTGTGCAAACATAATATTTCTGGCATTATATAAACACACCGTTATCTGAAAACGTATGAGGAAGAAATACAAACTCATTCGTAATGTATCATAAGGTATTATGCTCCACGATGTGATCGTTCAATATCTTCAAACCTCTAGATATTTACAAAACAAATAACTAAATGTTATCAGAAAGTATCACACAAAAGGCTTGAAAACCAAGAACTATAAAATACATTCGTTGTTACTGGATTTAACAAACTGTGTTTGCATTTATGTTCTGTGGAACGAACTACAAGTATGATTTTGGTAGACTTAGAAAAAATATGGTGAAGTTGGATATTTATTGCTTGGAAAGAAACGAAAAGGAATATATTTATCACAGTTTTATCAAACAATCCTTATTAATCTAAGCCACAATTTAGTGCAACACAGAGCCACAAAATCATTAGGTTCATAAACATTCAAAAAATCTTTTACAAAATCCTTCTGTCTTCCTGAAGTTGCTCTACCTTCATTTTGTTAACGTCGACTGCAAGTTTTTTTTTCCATTGAAACAAAAGGCTTCAATCTGATCGCTTACCTCTTCATATATCAACCAAAAAATATGTAACAATATCAGACATAAAACAGCTACTCAACAGCAACAGTTGATAACCATCCTATTTTTTGTAAAAAACCAATATTCATAAATATTTATACAGAAAGGGAAATAAACTCTGGTGTAAAACAAATACTAAATGAGAAACATTAGTGTGTAGCCTAAAGTCTATTTATAAAGCAAAAGATTAAAACTGTATCATGTCTACTAAAGAGCTTCAACCACGTTATGGGATGGTTTGTTTTATATAGCCTTAATTCTCAACATTTGGAAAAGAATATAGATAACAATAAATAGTCAACAGTAAAATGTAGGGCAGCAGCCAATTTAGGGCAACATGTGTAGCACTGATCTCATGTCAGTCTACAAATTAATATCAAACTAATTCTACATAACTTTTTGTTTGTTTCATTATAGCTTAGCCACAACAGGCTATCGGCTGTGTCCACCGGGGGGGGGGGGGGGGGG